AGACCAAAAAAAAGTGAAAAGTCTATTTTAACAAAATGCATTTGACTAACAGGTCGAACAACTGATGTTCTTAAACCCTGCTGACTGCCATTGGCGATTGCCAAATAAATTGATCACCAGATCTAACAAAATGGATCTTAATATTAATTAAATACCAAACAGAAAACATTAAACTTGTGGAAAAGATGGTATACCACAAACATGGGGTGCAAAATTTTGTACACCATATCCGGATTTCGACAATAAATGTCTCTTCAGTAATGTTAGGGATCGAAACGGTATTTGGAAAGCCATACAATTTACCTCAATTTAGGATAGACTCTTGAATTTTAAAGAGTCGAAATAGGATGAACGGATCATATAAACCCGAAGGAAAATATAATACAAGCCCAAACGAAAAAATATAAAAAGTCTAAATTGAAAACAACGTTCAAACCTATGATTGCGTTGGATAAAAACCGCAATTTTTATACGTGTGCATGCAAAACAAATTTCTTGGTAGAGGGGTCTAAATACAGCACAAACAACAATTTCCAAAAGACCAAAAAAAAAAAGTGAAAAGTCTATTTTAACAAAACGCATTTGACTAACAGGTCGAACAACTGATGTTCTTAAACTCTGCTGACTGCCATTGGCGATCGCCAAATAAATTGATCACCAGATCTAACAAAATGGATCTTAATATTAATTAAATACCAAACAGAAAACATTAAACTTGTGGAAAAGATGGTATACCACAAACATGAGGTGCAAAAATTTGTACACATATCCGGATTTCGACAATAAATGTCTCTTCAGTGATGTTAGGGATCGAAACGGTATTTGGAAGGCCATATGATTTACCTCAATTTAGGATAGACTCTTGAATTTTAAAGAGTCGAAATAGGATGAACGGATCATATAAACCCGAAGGAAAATATAATACAAGCCCAAACGAAAAAATATAAAAAGTCTAAATTGAAAACAACGTTCAAACCTATGATTGCGTTGGATAAAAACCGCAATTTTTATACGTGTGCATGCAAAACAAATTTCTTGGTAGAGTGGTCTAAATACAGCACAAACAACAATTTCCAAAAGACCAACAAAAAGTGAAAAGTCTATTTTAACAAAACGCATTTGACTAACAGGTCGAACAACTGATGTTCTTAAACTCTGCTGACTGCCATTGGCGATCGCCAAATAAATTGATCACCAGATCTAACAAAATGGATCTTAATATTAATTAAATACCAAACAGAAAACATTAAACTTGTGGAAAAGATGGTATACCACAAACATGAGGTGCAAAAATTTGTACACCATATCCGGATTTCGACAATAAATGTCTCTTCAGTGATGTTAGGGATCGAAACGGTATTTGGAAGGCCATATGATTTACCTCAATTTAGGATAGACTCTTGAATTTTAAAGAGTCGAAATAGGATGAACGGATCATATAAACCCGAAGGAAAATATAATACAAGCCCAAACGAAAAAATATAGAAAGTCTAAATTGAAAACAACGTTCAAACCTATGATTGCGTTGGATAAAAACCGCAATTTTTATACGTGTGCATGCAAAACAAATTTCTTTGTATAGGGGTCTAAATACAGCACAAACAACAATTTCCAAAAGACCAAAAAAAAGTGAAAAGTCTATTTTAACAAAACGCATATGTATATATATATATACATAAACATATCCCGTTTTCTGATATAAACATGTTCCTGTTTTACAGAAACGAAAATAAAGAGAACACCAAGGTTAGGGAGTAATCTTTATTTTAGATAAGAGGATGGGGGTGGGGGTAAGAAGAAGAAATTTGCAAGTATGAAAAAACGTCTGACTCGATATTTATTGAAAATAAAATGTAGGATGAAAGTTTTTTTCTAAGCCCCCTCCCCCCCCCCCCCCCCCCCAGAAAAAAAGTAAATAGAAAAATAAACAACTGAAAGGTAACTCGATAAGTTAACAAGTGGTGTGGTAGAAGCGGGAACATATCATCAGTGCTGACCATGTCACTTGAAAATATGTGCCAACAAATTAAAAGGTGGAGCGCCAATTTTGAAAAAGGAAAATGGCAACCCAGGAAAATTTCTGCCAAGTTTGGTTCGAGTCAACAGAGTTGGCAAACAAGAGTGGGGCGATTTTTTAAAAAAGTGAGGCGAGTTGGTGAAAAAGTGGGGCGATTTAGTGTGGGGCGTTTAGGCAGTGAGGCGAGTTGGTGAACAAGTGGGGCGTTTAGGCAGTGGGGCGAGTTGTCTTGCTTCCGTCAACAGATGTGTAATTTAAATTAAGAGGAATCCAGGGACCTGGTCACCTTTTCTGGATTTTTATTTTTTAAATAACGGAAATGTTTCGCAAAATTTGGATCGTGCACTCCTTTATTAAGAGCCAAAAACTGTAGCGGGCCCCCGTTTCTGGAAATTATGGATCCGCCACTGGTCAAACCAAAGACTTAAAAATTGATATTTACCGCTTCTCTTCTAAGCACAATGTTTTAACAATATGAATTCAAAGATATTTATTTTTTACAAGATGGCCTTGTTATCTTGGATGTCAAGTTATTGTTTGCCCTTAAGTGAAATCAGGTCTTCATATATGATTATATATATAAACAAACATGTCTTCCTTAACAGAGTGCGCTATATATTTAAGATAATTGTTTTTCCTCTACGTGAATGTCAATCAAAGAACTACTTATATATAAATATACATATAACATGTGTTCTTTTTAATTGAGTTTTAAAAAAAAAGGTGATGTAGAAAATGAGGTTGTGTCAATTACACTCAAACACTTTACGTTCTTATAAAGATATCGCACTAGCAACTCCATGATAAAAGAACATTTTTTTCTGATGATAAATATAAGTAGTATAGATACCATGAATAAGCGTTGATTCTTGAAAAAAAATCATGAGCTTATCCATTGTATCTATTTATAGGTTAGACAATACTTGGTCATGTTTTATGAAGATTTAAAGCCCAAGGCGTAGCCGAGGGCTTTATATCTCATAAAACATGACCAAGTATTGTCTAACATATAAGTATTGTCTGACCAATTTAGAACATATTCACATACACTTTCATGTGACCTTACAAATTTATCCTTTCCCATTGTAATATTTAAACCTAAATAAGAGTTCACTTTTTATAATGAAGTGAATGTATAACATAGGTAATGATCATTTCAATGGATGGAATGAAATAGTACTGACATAGTTTGTGAGGACAAAAAGGATTAATTGTTCAAACATTTGAGTTTTCTTCTGCTTCAGGTAAAATTTAATACTTATATATCTTCAATTTTTTTATTTTAAAAAGTACACAATGTTATATAAATCCGCTTTTTGAAATTTGATTTTTTTTTTTTCATAATTATAAAAGTCACTGTATAAATATTTGAATTCAGACCATTCAACATTAGATGCTTACTTTTTATTGATAAATGTACATGTATTGTGTTTTTCGAACAAAAAATCCTTTGCTTTATATATCAGCAGTCTGACATTGTTTTCTTGAAAGAAAAAAAAAATTGACACGAATGTTAGGTATATAAATTGAATAAATATTATTTCACCTACATATTTACCCCCATTTCATTTTTTTGTTTATTATATGTATGTGTACCATTACAAAATGTATAAACATTTGCAAAATTCAAATTTTCTTTTATTCTTTTCTCTTTCATCTTTAACCAGTAGGCTATTTGTCCAAGGAAAATGCCTCAGGGGATTGTACACTTCGTTAGTGTAATTCTTAAAGAGTTCACTTTCATAATTAACCTACAATGAAAAGTAATTCGTGTATAACATTTTATAGTGCATGGAAAGCCATGTACTATGAAAATTGAGGGAAAAAACTGACTTTTCATTGGACGAGAAGGGGTGAGTATGTTCTAAAACTTAAACTATTGTGTTAATGTCTATTCAAAATTAGAATATAGCAAAGTGCTCTCGACCAATGAAATTGTAGGATTTGATGTCTCTTAATTGTGAAGAATGAATGTAATTATTGTTTTAGTAAAGGATTATCCTATTGTTTAGGCCTATTTACAGTTCGAAACAAAAGAGTTTCTATAAATGAGTTACAACTGCCCCGGAGCACATTTATCAGAATGAAAGGATTTATCACCAGTGATTGAAACTGACTAAAAGTTCAATTGTGAAACAAACAAAAAAAATCAAAATAAGTTGAAATTTACTGGTGCAGTAAAATTGGTACCTTTAATGTTATTATGAAATTTTAATAACTTCAAATTACTAAAAAATTAAACAATAATAAAGCAATGCATAAAATGAAAAAAAAACACAGTTTTAAAATCAAAAATAACCTAAATCTTTAGATTTCCAAAACTCTGATTAATGGACCAGCGGTTGTGAAGAATAGTTATTTCCAATATTCCGATAAAATAAAAAAAACAAACAAAAAAAAAAAACAGGAATTTGATGTAAGTTTTGAATATATTTAAACTTTTAAAGGCATTTTATTTTGACATTCCCCTGACATAATGAAATAGTATTCGATTTAAAAAGCCAGACCAAAATATTGGCTGTGAAATGAAATTAGTTGTAACTCAAATGTATTGATTTAAACTGTAAATTAAAAAAGGATAATTCCTCACTAAAATATTACATAATTTACATTCATACTCACAATCAGGAAACACATACAATTCCTACCTTTTCTTTGTACTGTTGTGTCAATCACTTGTTCAACACCAATCTCTTCAACTACATGTTCCACATCTTCAACTTGTTCAACTACAACTGGCTCTCAAATCTCATCATCATACCAAAGTTCTGACATTGAACACACTGAAGTGAAAAAAACTTTAAGACGTGTTCCATCTGATGTGATTCCAATTATTAAAAACTGTTTTCATGATGATAAAATAGATTTTCTTCATAACCACCAATTGTGCTTAGAAAGAGGCTGTGTCAATATCAGCAAAAATGACCAAGACGCACAGAAATGTATACGAGACAAATTTCAACATCAATGGTTGAGTAGAGAAATGTCATACTGTGAGTCGTCTGGGTATTGGTGGCTCATTTATGAGGAGGGAGTTGGAATGTTTTGTCTTCTCTGCAAGGTGCACAATATTCTAACATCTGGAAAAAATCATTATGTAACAGGAGCCAAGCGATTCAAAAAACAAGCAGTTGATGACCATGCAAAGTATGCTAATCACAAGGAAGCCATAGCAACTGAAATGACAAGAAGGGTGTCATATTTCCATAAAGAAATCACAGAGAAAGAAAAAGTTGGAGAGGATGTCCAGAAAAAAGCTTTCCTCGCTGCATACTGGCTTATGAAGGAAGAACTACCAAATAAGAAGTTTGTATCCCTCGTTTCACTAATTGAACAGTCTGGACTTGATTCCATGAAGTTTTTTTTATCACAGATCCCAAGGTTCTTTGCAGGAAATTTTCTTATTGATTGGGGACACGTTAAGAAAGAAGATGGTAAATAAAGTGAATTATTCACCTGTATTCAGTATTTTAGTTGATGAAGTAACAGATATATCAGTTAAATGTCAAATGGTCGTTTTCATCCAGTACCTTGACGACTTTGGCAGCCCTGTTGTTAACTTTTTGGAATCACGTGATGTCCTTTCTAATTCTGTATCAGCTGACAGTGCAACTCTTCACCAAGTACTAAAGGACTGTATAAAAGATATAAATGGAAGCAAGTTGTGTGGACTTGTAACTGATGGAGCCAGCACCATGACAGGCAAAAAGAATGGACTTGCTGCTAGAATTAAAAAGGAACATCGAACAGTTGTGTCAGTCCACTGCATATGTCATCGCCTAGCGCTGGCATGTACAGATTCAAACAAAGACTGTAAATTTGTAGCTGACACATCTGACATACTTCGATATCTTTGGGAGTTTTTTGAAGATTCTCCAAAACGGACTGCAACATTGGTTAGAGTCCAGATGGAAATGGCAAAATGCAATGAACAACTACCAAAAACTTCAAGGATCTCAATTGTCCACAAAGTAAAAAAGGCATGCTCAACCAGATGGCTGTCATTTAACGCAGCAGTTCAGGGATGTTATGATGACTTTCCAGCAATAATGCAATGCTTGTCATTGCTTGAGAAAGATGTTGTTGCCACAGGCCTTTTAAAGAAGATGAAAAATGTCAGATTTGTTACCAGCATTTTCATTTTGAAAGAAATCTTGCCAATTCTTGCAAAGCTAAGCAAAACGTTTCAAGCCGGAACAATTAATTATGCATGTATACAACCTTGCATTCAGGAAGCTAAAGACGCACTAAGAGACAGTAGTTTGACTGAAAAAGTCAAAACAGCAATTGTCAAAGAAACCAAAGGTAACGAAAGACTTGGATTTTTAGAGTTAACACCCACTGAGGCTCAGTTAAAGGAAGCAACAGGAAAGATGGCCAAGTATGTTGAGGCCTTAAGAAACAACTTGGATGAGAGATTTGATGAGGCAGCACCACTTTTGGCTGCTTTTAGTGTGTTTGACCCTTATCTTCTTCCAGATAAAATAGAACCAGCCTTTAAGCATTACGGAGATGAGAAGATAGATGATTTGGGCTCACACTTTTTAGCTGGAGATGAGGAGGCAAAGAATGAACTTTCTGCTGAATGGATGAGCTACAAGTACCATATTTTAAGGCTAAAAAAAAATGTACTTTCAAGCCAGGAGAAAAAGACAACAGATGTTGTCTTAAAAATATTAATGAACCTACGAAATCCTTCAGACAAAGGGTATATTTTCCCTAGATTATCTCATATGGCTGCAATAATACTATCCTTGCTAGTCAGCAATGCCTGGCCAGAACGTGGAGCTTCAGCAGTGAAACGTATCAAGACACGCCTCCGAAGTACACTGAAGGATAACATGCTTTCAGGGTTACTACAAGTATCCATAAATGGACCTCCAGTGAAAGAGGCAACAGAGCTGATCAATAAATGTGTTGACAATTGGTATAAGGCAAAACCAAGGAGAAAACTTAAGGGCCTTGCTAAAGATAAAGTCGTGACAATTGCTCCTGCAGAAGTGATGGAAACTGCAGATACAGGTGTCCAAGCCGATTTTAATGAAAACGATGAAGAAGAAATGGGACGAGTGAGGACAAAAATGTCACACATTTTAAAGCTTCTCCATCTAACTGGCTTCCAAGATGATGCTGACTATGACAGTGAGGAAGATGACAATGAGAGTGAAGACTCTGATGAGTTTGACTATGACAATGTGACACTCTGATACTTTTTTGATTTGATTCAAGTGCTGAAAAAAAATTCTAACAAATCAATTTCTTTTCATTGCCTCTCCAGTCTTGACTATGTCACAATATGTTTGTCTACATTTAACATTAGTTGTCACTGTGTGTTTATATGCCTAGCATGGCCAGGGTAAGCAAAATTTCCCAGTTAAACACTAATGATATCCACCCTTTATGGTGCATTTAATTGAAAAATATTTTTAATTATGTGCAGCATATTCTGAATGTGCTAGATATAGCGTGAAGGTTGTAAGGGTTTAAGTGGGAAGTTTTGCTTATCCTAGCCTGGTCTTCAATAGCACATGAACAGACAATGGCAGCTTATGTTTCATATAAAAAAAATAAGGAAATGTGGTATGATTGCCATTGAAACAACTATCTACCAAAGTTCAAATAAAGTGGATGTATCAAATATAGTCAACCGTATGGCCTTCATCAATGAGAAAACTCCATACCATTAAGTCGGCTACGAAATATGTTTGGATAGATTATCTTTGTGTGTATTTATGTTGTTTCTTGGTATAGTCCGTTGGACTTCTATAAATCTTCAGAAAATAATTCTTAAAAATTCATTTTTACAAATAAACATTTTTTTTCTTGATGTATGTTAATGTATGATATATACGAACTCTGACTATGAATATCATAATTTTAGGCCAATAATCAAAAAAGTTACCCATTAGGTCTCTATGTTACTTCTATTTTTTTTTATATAAAATACTTGATTGAGTAAGTATGAATAGTGTAACAGCTTTCCATTCAAAACAAAAACATAAGACATGTGCTTTAAACCTGTTTCGTTATACCATGTGACTTTTCTCATTTAAATAACGCTGACCAGCAAACAAACTTGGATTTCATTTAAGTTTTATGTCATGTGATTACTGAACTTATTGTATGCATGATTTTGTATTTTTCATTGTTCAATTTCTATGAGTAACCTTAGTAATATTTTCCACTGGACATTACTAGTATAACATTTTTAAAAACTACAAAGTAGTTTTATGCAAAATTCAGTATTTTGAAAGTCATAAGCTGTGTTTTTTCAAGAAAAAAGTAAATATTAAATGTATTCTGTAAATACTTATTGGTGAAACTTTTTAGAGGCTCTCCATTTTGTTAATACTGTCATCATACTTTAAGCATGAAAAGCTTCCTAATATTCTTTTATAAGATATATATAAATATATAATCAAATTAAGGTAACAAAAATTAAGATTTGGTAAGGAATAAAAACAAAATAAAACATCTGATTATAATATTTTTTGCCACAAATAACATCTTTGTAGATGGAAGTTCATTTATAAAATCATATAATACCAGTTGTTAAAAAACTTAGATGATGGTCATTTTTCATGACATGTAAAATGTCCTTTGATATTTAAATGAGTTAAGTCACATGATACAATGAAACAGGTTTAAAACACATGTCTAATGTTTTTGTTTTGAATGGAAGGCTGTTACACTATTCATACTTACTCCATCAAGTATTTTATATAGAAAATAATAGAAATAACATAGAGACCTAATGGGTAACTTTTTTAATTATTGGCACAAAATTATGATATTCATAGTCAGAGTTCGTATATATCATACATTAACATACATCAAGAAAAAAAATGTTTATTTGCAAAAATGAATTTTTAAGAATTATTTTCAGAAGATTTATATAAGTCAAACGGACTATATTAATGGTTTATGCTGATCCTCCGTTGCTTTCTTACTTTTTGCGAAATCTGGCAATACAACAAGATTATTTTTGATATATTTTTATTTGTCTTATTTTAATACGCAATATCACAAGATTGACGTTACAAGCTAAAAAAAAGATAACATTCCTATGAAACTCCATTTTTTATGCATTTGTAAATAGTTTGAAAATGCCTCAGAGTGCACCATTTTCAATTTAAGGTCAAAAAAAATTTCGGGGGGGGGGGGGGGAAGCCCCCCTGACCCCCCTTTTTGGGTCAGCCGCTTCAAAATAGTAAACAGCCTGTTCGATGAAAAGTTATTGAAAGCCCTGTATATATAATCATATTTTTTTTATTGTTAACTTCATGTAGTAGAGTATAAAAGTTTGGGAATATAATTTTAGTACCCAATCTTTTAATTTGACTGACTGCAAAGATAACATACATTCTGTAGAATTGATAATAAGATTTATGGAACAAGATGTTCAGTAATAATGTATTGATGATATTGAAAATATTTGTAAATATCTGAAATTCAGATAAGTATTTTTTATCTATGTAAACATAAATAAAGGCAACAGTAGTATACCGCTGTTCGAAACTCATAAATCCATAGATATAAAAACAAATCCGGGTCACAAACTAAAACTGAGGGAAACGCATCAAATATAAGAGGAGAACAACGACACAACAAAAACACAACATTAAAATGTAACACACACAGAAACGAACTATAATATAACAATGGCCATTTTCCTGACTTGGTACAGGACATTTTAAGAAACAAATGGTGGGTTGAACCTGGTTTTGTGGCATGCCAAACCTCCCGCTTTTATGGCAATGTTAAATATAATATTAAAATGACAACATTACATGACATGACTACAATACAAATTAATGGGAGAACATATAGGACAAAGAAACACACGAATAATAGCTAACAAAAGGTACTAGGTTTAGAATTTAATACGCCAGACGTGCGTCTCGTCCACACAAGACTAACCAGTGACGCTCAGATGAAAAAAGTTCGAAAGCCAAAACAAGTACAAAGCTGAAGAGCACCGAGGACCAAAACTTCCAAAAAGTTGCGCCCAACACGGCCAGGGTTTGTTGCCTGGGACAAGAACATCCTTATTATTTAGAATAATATATACCTTTGCAAACAGTAAATTATAAAATGATTATATAATAGATATACATGATAAAACCGAAGTGGGGAATAACTACAGAATAAAAACGGATACATTACATAAAACAACTTAATCCAACACATAAAAATACACAGCCGAGGAATTATGAAATTAATCAATTAGATTTAACGTATATTAATAGAGGAACAAATAAGTTAAAAATTAAAAAAAAATGAATAAATGAATGAGAAGAGTATTGTATTATCACAAATAAAAAAACAATATTGCAAATGAGTGTTTGTATATGTGCGTAAATTTATAATTTAAATGCATTTTAGAGTAAGGGTTATAATTTTAGCTTTTAAAAATGAATGAGATTTAAATAAACATATGATGCTATGAAATAGTTTTAAATGTATATTTAAATATCACAAGCTAATAAAATATCAAATTATTGATGTAAACAGCACTTCCAAAATTAAGTAGGGGTGTATGGTTTAGCTAGAAATTATAATAAATAAATAAAAAATAACAAATAAAATCATGCATGATTATAAATAAAATAGAGGACTGAATAAATGTTATATCTTAACTTAAATGAAACTTCCGAAGATTTATTAGGGGTTACCAGTTATTTCAAGCCTTCTAAAATGATTGTTGAGTTAGATATGTTTATATTGTTAGCAATATATGACAAGATATTTAGTTCAGTCAGCAAAATACAGGACTTGGGAAAAATGTGAAATACACAAAAAAGTACCGGTACCTGTGTTTGCTTGAGTTTTTTATTTTGTAAATAAGAATTATTTAGACAAATTGATACGAATACACACATACATGTTAAATAGTCTAGTAAAAAAAATAGTAAAAAAAAAAAAAATATTTTTTCTTATGACTGAAGCAGACGAAATGATAGTAATAGAAGATAGAGAAATACTTCGTCTAGATGATGATCTGAGGGGGAAAATTTCCACAAAATGGCATGCGTTGTGATTTAACGGGGTGTATTACTGTACTTTATCGGAACTTCTCTCGCTACATAAAGCATTGGAAACTTGTACATTTAGAACAGATACCTATGTATAAATGCACAATGTGTAACAGAAAGTTCAAACACAGGTTTGAACTGGGCCAACGATTTAGAACGTGCCACATATTAGAAAAAGATATTGCGGTAGAACGCACTGCATCAGTGAATCAAACATTGAATTGTAATGAAAGATGTATAAACCCTAAGGAAAAATTACCTAGAAAAAAGTTATAGTAAAAATTATGTTTAATGTTTTAACTTATTATATTTTAACTTCTTTTTCAGCATGTCTGAAATATCTGTTGCTAAATTTGTTTAACCTTCGGCAGAAACTATTCCTGACTATTGGCCAGATGACGGTATGCCATGTGATATAAAGGGGTGTGAAAACCCTGTCATCAACAGCATCGGAATGTATTCAAAACATTGGCTCCGTTTTCATACGAAGAAAACCACAATCATAATGTGTCGATTGTGCGAAAAGAAATTAGGGAGGAGATACTACCTGCTTCAAAACTTAGGTGACTTTCACAAATTAGATTTAGTTGCCCGTAATGATGAAATGTTTTTAAACACTATTCCAAAATTAGTTGATATTATGAACTATATTAATCCTGGAGATACGGTGAAAAGAATATGTAAACCAAAAGTCAATATTTAGGCAAGAGAGGAAGCCAGAAAAGAAAGACTTATTTTGAAGAAGAAGTTAAATAGTAAGGAACTGTTTCCAAAACTCCAAAGTACCTTGTGACCATGTGGCCATATTTTAGAAATGCCAAACATGAAGGGAGTCCAAGTCATGCAACTGAAAAAGAAACCCGGATGGCAGAAGAAAATTTGACTATAATAATTTTGGACATTCATGTGTGTATTTGGGCATTATTTTGAATTATTTATTTATGGGGGGTCGGAAATTGTTCATTTTATAGATTTAGTTATTATATTTCATTTATTTGATGATTAACTAAATTGTTTTAAACATATATATATATATATACATATATAAACAAGTCTAAATATTTTTCTTATATATTGATTCTTAGGGGGGAGGAATGTAACAATTTCGCTATAAGACTAATGTTAATTAACTAACTTAAATGTGCTTGGATTAAATTTAGTTATTTTTTTTA